CCGGACTGGGCAAACTGACCCCAGACGAACACGGACCCTGAAAAAAAAACAGACCTGGACGGGACATGGACCCTGAACTGAACACGAAACCCAGATGGGACAAGGACCCGGACGACCCAGTGTGTGACCGGTCCAGCAGGACTGCCTTGTTCTGCTGCTTCAGAGTTCAGACGGGTTCTACGTGCCGCGTCTCACTGACTGTTCCCTCATTTTCACCTGAATCTAAACTGTTTTAGAAGAACTTGACCTCCTGGAAGGTTCCTGACCTTCTAGAACCTCCATTGGTCCCTGTTGGTTCATTGACGGTCCACCGGAGGTCTGCTGAGGTTCTGCCACAGGTTCCAGCTTCTTCCTGCTTCATGTAGTCTGTCACTGGTTGGCTCTAGTACACGCTGTTAGAACACGGAGGAACCCACAGAGAAGTTCAGGAGGTGTTAGCAGGAGAACCAAACACTGGGGAGAAGCTGCTCACTGTTTACAAAGCTTTAACATGGAGAACTGTAACCTTTGTGCAATAAAATATCTCTGTGACACATTCTGCTGCTGTTGTACCTGCACGCAGAAACAACCGCTGATCTGTAGCAATGAGCTAACGTTAGCGTTGGACGCTACTGAACCCTTTGAAGCGTTTTAGCGAGCTAAAGCATTTAGCTTGAAGGGTTAATGTTTAAAATATGTTAGAAACCTCTGGATCCCTGAGAAGCTAACAGTAGCTTTGCTACAGGCAGCAATTGAAGTATTGATATTAGCATGTTAGCTCAGATAAGCTAAACCTAGCGGTTATTCTAATATTAGCCAAAGCTTAAACAATATGCTAACATTAGCATATAAAGGCATTAGCCAAAAGCAAAACTTTACAAATAAAGTTTTATTCAAATAATTATTGATTATGTTGAAACTAAATTATGTGGAAAATATTCCAGGTTTTAGCTAATTAAAATGTTAGCAGTAGATCTGATCATCTCTGTAACAATGTCTGGAAAAACTTAAAACATTTTCAGACACTAGCTGTTGATGCTAACATGCTAACATGCTGTCTGTAGTCCTATAGAAGAAAAAATCCCTTCATTGTCCCAAAAATGGGGAAATTCTGCTTTCAGCAGCAAAAAGATTATAGAAAAAATGTGGACCTTAGAAAAAAGTCTACGAATAAAATAATGGTGAAGAATTAAAAGATAGACGATAAAATCCTGTAAAGTGTTTTAACAATATAAAACTGGGGAATAAATAACCAATATCCAGCTATGGACATTTTTACAGTAATTTGAAAATAGCAGCAACATCAGAGACGTGCAGAATGACAGCAGCAGGTTATTTAACTGACTAAGGTAGAAACTGAGCAGAATCAGCATGAATGGAAGAACTGGTTGAGGTTACTGGGAACAGTGGTGGTTCTAAAGTCTTCCAGCTGCTGGGAGAAAGGATCTGTGATAACGCTCCCTGGTGCATTTAGGGGGCAGCAGTCTGTCACTGGAGGAGCTGTCCAGTTCAGCACCAGCTGAACCAGCATGGGGGGGGGGGGGTTATGGTGACCCTTTAGAGCTACAGACTTTTAACTTTGAACGTCCCACTGAACCCTGGAGGCAGAGGAGGCGGATTTTCCTGCTAACACTAAATAATCTTTGCAAAACGGAAACGTTCATTAATATTTCCCAGAATGAGCATCGCAGTTCTGTCATGTTTGTATCCATCTGATCAATACTTCAGACAAACAGGAAAGTTACCATTTTAAATGTTTTATTCTTTGTAGCTCAGAATTTTGATAAAATTAGATTTGAGAAAGATGGCATTAAATGTTTCCATGAAAACAGTTTATTTCCATTTCAATCGTAAACAGAGGGCTGAACAGAAGCGTGGCGTCTGTCTGGACACGGTGGTCCTGTGTGGACACGGCGCGGCGTCCATGCTGCACTTTGTGCCACAGAAATAAACATCATGTCTGTCGGACTCGGCCTCACAGATCTTCCATGGGTCTCTGGGTGCGGGCTGTGATGCGTTGGACCATCCGCCGGCCGTAGAAGTCCCTGTAATCCGCCGGGAGCTGGTCCAAAGCGCCCAGAGCCTTCTCTAGGGTCTGCAGAGCTCGAGCAGCCGCCAGCGGGTCTTTGTTTCCATACGGGTCTTTCCTGTCGTAGCTGTCCGCAGGTAGGTGGCGCCAGAAGACGTTGACGCCGACTCCAAACTGAAGGGCCCGCGTGTTATGGAACCACAGCGCTGAGGAAACAGGACAGAGTGAGGCGGGTTCTGCTCAGAGCTGCTGGATGTTCTGATGTTCCTACCAGGGATGAAGAGCAGGTCTCCAGGCTGCAGGACGCAGTCGTATCTTCTCGCTTTAACAAACTCAGGAAACCGTTTCAGATCAGGAGCGTCGACGTCCAGAACCTCGGACTTATCACCTGCTGGGTCCGATCATGAACCATGTGACTGAACCGTTCCCTCAGAGCGGAACGCGGATCACTGATGGGGTCTCACCGTTCAGGTAGAGGTGCAATGCATCCTGGGGGCTGAACAGAACCACCCTCTTCCTTCCTGTGACCTGAGCCAGCAGGTTGTCCATCACCTTCAGGGGGAGACCAGAGCGTTTTCAAACATCTCATGACAGCAGCACTTAGAACGCTAACAGAACCGGGTCCACCCAACACCAGAACTTACGTCATAGTGTGTCCAAAGCTGCAGTCCACAGGAGCTGATCCGGAAAACGCTGGAGAAGAACTGGTTGGGCTCAAAGAATGGGGGGATGTGGAAGTCCTCTGCCAGGTCCGGGAACTGTTTGCTCAGGACAGCCGGTTCCTGTGGACAAAGAAGGGTTGGACTGAAACCAGAACATCAGGAACTATTGGAAGAGTTCTTCAAACCATTTTGAGTAAACACAAGTCGGACTGTGAATGTCTGACCTTACGAACGTCGTCTCCCAGGGAGCGAAGGTAGTAGCTCTCATCCTGGAAGGAAGACAGTTTAGAAAAGAGAACGTCCAGAGACCCTAAGACAGAACGTCCAGAGACCCTAAGACTGAACGTCCAGAGACCCTAAGACAGAACGTCCAGAGACCCTAAGACTGAACGTCCAGAGACTAAGACTGAATGTCCAGAGACCCTAAGACTGAATGTCCAGAGAACCTAAGACTGAAGGTCCATAGACCCTAAGACAGAACGTCCAAAAACCCTAACATAAAATCCAGAAAGCCTAAGATAGAACGTTCAGAGACCTTCTGGAACTGAGACTCACCTCACTCAGGAAGAAATCAGAGTGTTTGGTTTCAGATGCTCTTCTGACAAATTCCTTAAACGGCAGAGTCCTGTTTAGACATCCAGATCAGGGACATCATGAGGGACATCCAGAAGATCAGGGACATCATGAGGGACATCCAGAAGATCAGGGACATCATGAGGGACATCCAGAAGATCAGAGGTGAACATCTAAAAGGATTCCCAGTAATAGAAGCTGTCTGCTTAGCTCACCTGTAGACAAAGTTTTTGTTCAGGAAGTCCATCTGAGGCACCGTGGAGACATGGACCTTCACCTCCCGCTCACCTCCTTTCATCTCCAGATATTCAGTCGTCCACCTGTCCACACAGGGCCCCAGGTCTACGCCTCTGAGGACCGCCGGTCTGCGCTGTGAGACACAAAGGACAGTCCTTAGAGGACAAAACATGGAGGTGGTAGAACATCAGCCTGAGACAGGCAGCTGCTGATGGAGCTGTCAGAAGGTCCTTCCCCAGAGAAGAAGATCGGTCCTGAGGCTCCACCTCGTTCAGCTTTAAACCTTCACTGGTCCTGCCGTCTCCTTATGGACACCCTGGGTCTGTCCTGCCAGGAAGGAGGAGCACACACCTGATGTTCTCCTACTCCAGCCTCACCGCTGCCTCACCTGGAATAACCAAGAAGCTAATCTGCAGAAGAACCTAAAGGGAACGGACCAGTCAAAGTCCAGGATGGTGGAACAGCTGTGGAGCAGATCCACAAATATCAGACCCCACCGTGTGGAAGCACCCTGGGAGCAGGTTCCTGGGGGCCCCAAAGAACTGTTTCCATGTATGGTTCATAAAACTATTCCTTATTTCTGCACATTAATCATGTTTTAGATATAAATCCTTTAATTAAAACTCCATCAGAACGCCGATAACATTAAGCTCCTAGCGCCAAATCTAGAGACTTTTTTCTGCTACTGGAGACTTTGGAGACAACATCTAAAAGCAGCGAAC